TTACTCACATGTTGCATTTTGTTAGCTAGCATTCAACTGATGAATACAGTTCCAACAGTAATCTGACTATTGCATATGAACAGCACGATGTTGTTGATGAATAAATAGCTTCAACGTAAACTGAATTTACGATGATTTATATTTACCTCTATTTCTCCTATATACTTTAAACATAAACAAGGAAATGGTATCGGAGACATAGAAACTGCTTTCAGTGATGATGTGTATTTCCCAAAATCTGGCCTGTCAGATTATTTTGATGATATAATTTTAAAAAATAGAGCTCCGTTGTTAAAATAGATCTCCGTCTGAGTTACCCACATGGTCACTCTTTAGCGATTTTGCCTAGAAAATAAATGCGCAAGAAAGTCAAGATAGGAATCACAACTTCCAATCAGGACTTTCAGAATAAAATGAGAGTGGAAACAGAATGCAGATGATGAGCTCGATCATGGATTCCAACAAGATTATCATAGGTTCTTTTTACCAGATTGCCCCCCCGTCTCTGACTGTAGGCTATAGCACCACATATGTGAACAGTAACAAAGTAAATTCCAGTTACATCTTTATCAATATCTTAAATTAGCCTTTGATTATGTTCTGACTCCCATCTAATGGATTAGAAAAAAGTTTGCCCGAGGCCAAACTTACTTGCCGACCCCTGCTTTAAATAGTTCTTGACTTGACCATGAAGCAGTGACAATAACTGTCAGTCTGATCTGAGCAGCTTCTAGGTGGAAATGAATTCAGTAAAATGTGAATGGACATGTGACACACCTTGGTCCTGGCCAGTAAGGGTGCTCCTCTCTCCAGCAGCAGCTCCACAGCTGAATCATGTCCACTCCGAGCTGCACAGTGGAGGGGAGTGAGACCATCCTACACATACACACACACACACACACACACACACACACACACACACACACACTTATTCATAAGCATTGAGCATGTACCGACACTGATCTGGCTAGAGGCTAAAGAACTAGACCTGATGCAGAAGTCCCTTTAACCAAGTCAGGTAACTTGAGGTCAATGGCTTAACCTCAACCTCCTGACCTCAGCTGCTGTAACACCGACAGGTATCTACATGGAGCCAGTGACTGACCCAGGCTGGGTGTCGTTTGCATGGGTCTGAATCAAATAGAGCTAATAACCCGAGTGTCATGCTGGTACATGACAAAATAACGCCAGGCAGAGGTCAGGAAGTCCAGATTGACACTGAATTTAATCCACTGACCCACCAGCAGCTAGTTAATACTCACATCTGTTGTTGCTAATGGAGATGAATAGTCATGAGCTGACCATTCGTTGTGAGTGTGAATGTAACAGCAGAAACATTTGGTCTGTGTTTCATCACCAATAGCAACCAAGTGGAGAAAACGGGCTTGAGCAGGTGAGGTGGAAGGAAGGAGAGGATGCATGTTTCATGATATTCAGTCTACAGCTCAGACAGAAGATCTTGCAGCTTCATCTGAGATGCGCTTTGTCGTGTTACTCACCCTCGTTTTAGCATCAATCTGAGAGCCACGGTCCAGTAACAGGCGAACCATATTAGTGTTGCCACGCTTGGAGGCCACATGTAGAGGAGTAATCCCATTCTGCAGAGAGGACAGAAATGCATGTTATCTTTATTAGACACAGTCATTCACAGGTTACTGATATAGAAGTTAAATATACAGAAAAAACAAATCCATAAAAATGAAATTCCATAATTAAATAAATCATATTTAAAAGAAAATAATAAGCCGACACAAATCTTACGTGCGCTAGCTTTGTCCTGTAGTTTCTCCGATCACAGTACCTCAATCCAGACTGCCCCTAGTGCTCTCGCGACACTTAGAAACCCAGTACACTACATGACATCTGCCATAAAACGCAACTAAACGACCACTATTTTCCCGCGACTACCACCAAACTTGTCTTTCGCATCATACGACGACCTTCCTAGTGCCACATCTTCCTACGACCTTCGCAATTATCGGGTTGTGCTCATTAGCCCAGCTACTTTCAAAGTGTATAATGGTGGCGCACTGAAGCGTAGATCGTTCCTGCGACTTCGCGCTTCACCAACAGCCGATATGGTATTTTATACTTGACGTGCCTGGCGGTTATTCCCAAATGTCTAGGGCCGTTCCTGCCCCTCATAGGCACTGCACGTGGGATCACCCCCCTTCACAAACTATAATCCACTCCGTAAAAGATCCCGTTTTACTATATACCAGTGAGCTATCTGTGCTGTTGGAGTTTCAAAAACCATCACACGCCATCCGATACTCGCTGACTCCCATCGTCTTGTCTCATCGCCGTGTGATAAAGATACAACCGCGCCGACTCTTCATCCAAACAGCGTCACGCAACCTCGCACTACCACACTGGGGTGGGGTATGCTTTCCTCGATTAGCCATCCTTTGCAGGCTCTTAATTTTCACCCGCAGATCACAGCATACCGATTACAACGGAAAAAATAAAAATAAAAAACAATTTTGACATTTTTTTTTAACTTGATTTATTTTTTTGATAGTCTGTAGTTTAACTCTTCAAACTTCATGTTTATTGTGAGTCTATGTAGATGTATGTTTCATGTTGTCAGTGTTAGCTGTTAGCTAGCTCCTGGTTAGTTGTAACAACATTACACATATGAAATGTAACAGGAGGATATAAGGTTTGGTTTAGTTACGAAAAGTTGATATCGAAACACTTATATGACTTTTTACCATAATTGGTGTGTGTGTGTGTGTGTGTGTGTGTGTGTGTGTGTGTGTGTGCCCGTTTCTGTTATAACTAACCAAGACTATGAGGTGAATTGTAACATTTTACTCCTTGTGTTTGAGACTAAACATGTTCTGTTTGTGTTGCAGAGATAACATCTACATCATTGAACAGCAGAGACATGGAACTAGCTTCTTTCACATTTTGAACACATTTTTAATGTTGTCTTGTTCTTTTTAATTCTGCATCGGGTATTTTTTGTAACATTTTGTCCAAATCCATTTGACCTGCACCTGCTGAAGAAGCCTTGTTTGATCCATACTGTCACTTTGGAACAGTACAGTCTGATCATCTCTGTAGGATGGTATCTGGTCTGCATAGATAAAGGAGCACATTCTCTCAAACCTTTTAACCACGTGGGATTTTAAATCTCTGCAGCTTCCTTTCCAGTCAGACAAGTACAAATGTGTGTGTGTTATTTATTTATTTTTGTTGCAAAGTACAAAAAGTGCTATTCTTATCCACATTGTTTGCATGGTTAAAAATAGGACATCTGAATTCATTTTCTGGATGATGCTGATAAAGGAATAGAACTCACAGTGGAAAAGGTCTGACCATAAATGAAAGTTAGCGTTTTGGACTGTGGGGAAGGTTTGGTATTTGGTCAGACACCCTGTCTACAAACGAAGCCTGGCCTTTTCAAAGCCATTTGCCTCAGTTAAAAACTCTGTGTTATGTGTTGATCCATGAAAAGAGGAGGCCCTGCAAGAAGAGGGTTTTCTTTGTGTGCATGTGAGCGCTTGTAGATCTTGAGCCCACACACAGTGATGAGGCTCGGGACAAAAGGACAACAGCGGGGTGGGTGGGGGTAGACGAGGACTCAGACTTCAGATTTGCTGACTCAAAAGTACATCAGCAGATTTGTCCTGGTGCCCACGAGAGCCCAGCACATTTAAGAAAAGAAAAAATCTTCACCAATGTGACAACACATGAAAGTACAAAAACCTGAGCTAAATATAAAATTGCTTCAAGTTGTTCACTACCCAAATGAAGTTGTCAACAATGTTTAAAAATGAGCTAAAACTATATTAAAGACCCTCTGATGAAAATCCAGGGTTTAAACATGTTAACATCCATATGATGTTTTTATATAATACAAGTCATATGATGAGAGAAATAATCATCAACACCATGACTGAGTGTTTCCACATTAAACTGCAGAGAACCAATGACAGTCTCATAAAAACAGATTCAGACAGCCAGGGTTTCATACATCACAAACCCAAGGAACCAGTCCTGTCAACTTGTGGGGACGGAGGGCGGGGCTAAATAAACCTGAAGCCTTGTCAGTACAGAGAGAGAGAGTTAGCATTAGCACAACCACTAACACCATGTCAGCCACTGTCAGTTACAAGCTAACAAACAACATAAACAAATAAAAGATGCTAACTACGCTAACCGTTCTGATACGTCTGCTAGTCTCTGGTTCTGGTCTCAACAGACTCCTCATCTGAGTCTGGGTCTGACTGAGGCTCAAACATATGGCTGAGTCACTGAAACAATCCCCTGTAAACAGAATGAAGTTTAGCTCTTTCGAGTTCACTCAGCTGACCTGCGGCATAATACAGTGCGTGCTGTAGGTGTGCTTGTGCATAGGAATATGGTATTTCAGCAATCGAGAAAAATGTAGCACCAAAGGAAAGTGCTGTTTTGATAGGAATATATGTGCTGAAAATATTCTACATGAAGTGTACATTGAAACAGGTATTGGATTGTTTCGGTGGGCAACTTCTAAAAGTGTCAAACACGTTTTTTTCTTCTGGCCCCGCCCACAGCAGCACATTGATCTGGTAACGTTCCATGTTCCCTGCTGCTTCTCTAAACTGCCAGCGCACTGATCTTAATCTACTGCAGGTAACACACTGACTATGCATGACTACCTCACACAACCCCACGTCAAATGACCTCAACTATCTCTTTAAGGTTAGGAAACACGACTGTGTGTGTGTGTGTGCGTGTGTGTGTGTGTGTGGTATCCTACCCTTGCAGTGAAGTCGACTGCCGCCCCTCGGTTCAACAGGAGCGTGGCCACGTTGACATTCCCGTAGTGGGCAGCGATATGCAGAGGGGTGAATCCACTCTGAAAGACAGACAGGAAACAGACAGACACACAGAGAGGAGGACAGAGGTCAGATTTTTACTTCATGTCCTTAAACTTTGACCCGCGCCTCTTGACCTTGAGTCTTCCCAGCATGCAGCAGTTGCATCAAGCATCACAGGTAAACAAAAGGTAAACTGAAAAAAAGGAAAATGTAAAAGTCACGGGAAAAAAATAATTTTGAAAATATTCAAGTCAGTATATGAAGCACCCACACATACAACCCCAAAACACACTCGTCACATCACCTCCATGCAAGTTTTCAACCACAGAAACAAAAATGAAAGAAAACCTTTGGCTTCAAAAACCAAAATGAAAAAGACCAAAACAAAAGCAGAACAAAGAGAAATACACACACAGAGATTGACATGAAGATGGACAAACAATATCAGATACCCAAAATCAAATGATAGTAAAATCATAGAGTGATACATAACGAGTGGGGAAGAGTTCCCATCACCACATTGCACTATGTTAACTGTATGTCATAAAGTCTTAGAGTTAGCAATGAGAAATATATGAGAAAAGTTAGAGATTGCAGAGCAGGTTGGAGTAGTTGTGAAATTCTTGCCTTACCTTGCCGTTCTGTAAGTGTGGTCCGATTTAATGTGAAAAAGTCGTTTACAAAAGTGTGAAGAATACAGTGGCTAACGTGATGGTTTCAAACTTTACACAGTCAAAAGCTTAGAATGGTGCAAATTAAGGCAGCATGGATGCAACATGCTATTCAATGCCAAATCTTTGGCCAAGCAGCTTAGTATTTTAAACACATTATGAGCTTCCCATGCTGTTAATGATTAGCATTGTTTGTAGTTGTAAAAGAGCTAAAGTTATAGTCCAGTAAGTTACAAATCTTTCATAGAAATGCATGCATTTGAAATACTTGTTTAGGAAGCTGTTAAGTATGGAAAACCAGAGTTGCCAATATTAAAATGAAATAATTTAATTAATTTAAATTTGTATTTTCATTATGTATGGCAGAAAAGAAATTATTTGCATTTCAATTATCATGTTTAAACATGCACAATTACTGCCAAAAAGAAAAAGAAAAAGAAAATATTCCACTGACAGGAAATTTTCAGTTTACTCCAAAACAGAACACTGTTACTATTAATCTAAATTTTTCAAAATGGCGGACAATGTTGAATCTAAACCGAAAAATGGGATTGTAAAGATGAATTCGGATTATATTTTCATTTTAGCTCAATCAAACGATTATTGCTGTGTTTAATGGCCATTTTTATAATGGAATGATTCCCTGGGCCTCTTTTGCGAAATCTGACAAAGTCAACCATCACCTCTGAGAGGAAATAAAATTCAACTTGGTAAAAAAAACAAAAAAAACATGCACATTTTTTCAAATGTCAGAATCCAGTTTGCTTTTTGCAAGATTACATAAATTGTACATTGTCTGCTGATTTGAAAATGAAAACAAAACTTAAATTTTCATTTATGCTTTGGAGAATACTGAAAATTATTCATAAAAAGTATTCATTTTGGAAGTAATAATGCATTTTATAGTATCTATAAAAATAAAAACAAAAAATATTTAAATTTGATTAAATGTTTTCATTTTTCTGTTGGCAGTGCTGGACTTCCACAAATGTGGAACAATATATTGTAATATTTGCAGTCATTTAACCAATGCTGTTTTCAAGTAAGTAGTTCATAGTGTATCTCTAGAAGTCATGCAGTACAACAGATTACAAGACAGACCCATAGACAATATACATTCGTAGCTGTTCCAAAGATGCATCAGCATAGTATTCATCAAATCAAAACCTTACAGGAGGAAAATGTAATCATTTAAAATAAATCAATAAACCGTACATCTCAATAAAGATGTTGTTTAGAGATATTTGTAAATGAACTGAGAATCAAATATGAAAAAAAGAGCCGGTAACAAAAATGAATACAAACTGAAAAGAAAGAATGAAAATGCAAACAGAGTATGAATAATAAAATCCATAGCCAACAACTACAGCAGATGGTGTGCAGTGCCTGAATGCAGGACACATGGCAGTGGTGTGGCCATTCCTATCAGCCGTGCATGGTGGCTTCTTATACTACCAAACTAACAGAAATTGTGGGAAGTGTAAAATGAACCAAATGATTCTTTATTTACACCATGCAGTGCTGTGGAAGTGAGAGAAATAAACAGTGGAAGAGAAGACAAAGACAAAGAGATGGTACTGTATAGTGAATCTGTAGAGAGTTAAAGGAGCATTGGTATACCTCAGTAGTCCTATTGACCATCATCTGTAGCAGGAGGAATGAGGAGGGAAACATCAGTTAAGTCAGGCTTGTATGACACTGTATCAGCAGCTCAGAGGCAGCTACACAGTCAGATACTAAGCTGGCAAGCAACGTGGCTGGGGTGTGTCACTCCCGTTTAATGTGTCCTGCCAGCGCAGCTAAGTTCACACACAGGTGAAATCTGTCACACAGAAAAGGGTCCTGGAGGACAGCAACTATTGTTTATTATCAGTTCATCTGTTATTTGATTTTGCGATTTATTATTTGGTCAAAAGTGTTGAAGAATAGTGAAAAATCCTCATTACAGCTTCCCAGAAGCCAAAGTGATATTTTCATGATCATCTTCATCATCTATGATCAATAATAATTTTAAGTGGATTGGCCTAAATTAACTACAAAACTGCACAATGCATTTCAAGTGGCAACAAGTTTAAAGGTACTGATGAAAGTATACACTGTTGCCATTGAATGAGCAATCTAGTCAGTCTTTGATGTTTTAGTGAAAAATGTATTTTTATTGGTCAAACTGTCTGTCAAACTCTCAGAATGTGAAAGAAGTGACACATGAAAAGTTGAACTCATAAGGAGCAAAATAAACCCTTGTTCCATTCAGTACACTCAGGGGTTTTGGAGTTACACCTTTACTTGGCCTGGTATGACAGCTAATAACTGTTTATATAACTCACCTGTTCACATTATATTTAAACTTAAAGTTATATATAAATGAGGGCATGTCCTCTTTGAGTGACATTTGGCTGAGGGTGTGATTCCACAAACGGGGATGCACCCAAGTCTTAGCTCCACCCACACTCCTCCTCTCTGTCCATTTTTGGATTAGCTGGGAGTTAGGGGCGGAGTCAGACACTAACAAAATGGCAACAGTGGAGCAGCTCACTCAGAAGCATGTGTCCCAATTCAGGGGCCACATCCTCCAGAGGCTGTATTTGAAGACAGAATGCATCACAGCTGCGTGACCCTTTTCAAAGGCTCTTTGTGTCCTTTTCCTGAGCAGGTGGATCCTTCATGGCCCAACCTATCCCAAGATTCATTGTGCCCCAGTAATGAAAGAAAACAACACTGACAGAGAGCCTGAGGATTACACTGTTAAATGTAAGTATTGGGTTTCAGCTCAATTCAACAGCTAATGGTACAACCGTTAAAACCACGGGCCTTAAAACCTCAATTTTTTTCTTTTTTAGAAAGCTGCTAGAAGACAAGAGCCACATAACAATAAGAGCGGGAACAGCTAGTGACGCACAGCGAAAATCCTCCGTACACCAGACTGTCTCATTTCAGTTTAGACTTTGAGGTCTACGACAGCTACGAAGGGCCACACCTTCCTACGAAAGTGTGGCCCTTCATAGCCATCATAGACTGCATCCTCAGAAGGATGTGGTCCCTGAACACAGCTTGAGCTTCAGAACCACCCTTCAGAAACCTTAGGGTGATGTCACGGAGGCTACATCCATCTTTATTTACAGTCTGTGGTTCTAACAGTAATGATAACCCTGTAGCTACTAATCTTAGTTTCAGTGTCAGGGGCAGTTTAGCATCTTATTATCTAAATTATCTAAAAACAGGAAAATGGTTTGTGTGTGTGCAAAACTTTAGCAAACACATGACAGTTGAAAGGTAACACTTTATTGTTTACCTCATTTTCTCCTCCAAATAAGTTCAGCTAACTGAGGAGTTTGTTTACAACCTGAACGTGCCTTTTTTTACCCAATTAACATGGTTAGTACAGTTTTGTACTAATGGGATTAATAGCTAAAACTACAAAAACAAGACCCTTGCTGTAATAAGTTATCACTATCGCTTAAAGGATCTAAATTTATTGAACAGTGTCTCAGCTGACCACAAGAGAAAACTCTGACAGCTGCAGTTTTCAAAAGGAACCTGTTTAGTGAGCAGTTATGTAAGCAGAACGTTTCAGATAACCCAAGTTTTCCCAAGGTGTTTGATTAGAGCTGTGCCCTTGTGTGAGGGCAACATGTGTTTAATGTGTGTGTATGTGTTACATGTGTGTGAGCGTGACTGTACATGCGGCCATTTATAGCAGTTCTCCTGTGGGCCTTCCTTGTGAGTCATATTGAGCGGAGCTGCACCACAACAGCTGAATCAAATATGGTATTATACTAAATGCATGCATATACGCTAGTTTAGTTACATATGGACATAACTGGCAGCATGTTAAAATACACTGCAGCTCCTGCAGAAGTATTAACATTCAGGCAGGTGTGGTGCAGTAAATGGAGTTCGTCTTCATTGGATTCACTCCAGCCACGTCACTTAAAGCCATTATCCGATATCAGAGAAACAGTCACAACTGAAAACATTTGCTCCTTGACAGGTAATTGTGAGTTTTAACCAATACCGGATTATTATCAGTTCAAACCCCTCCCATCCCTTCAAACAACAGTAAAAACAACCCCGCCCCCTTCTGTGGTTGCATGCAGCCTTAGATATCATCACCATTCAACCTGCAGACAGTGGCACACTCCATGCAGTGGACAGTGCTACACTTAGACACCAGCACGGCGCGGTAGGAGGGGGTGATGGGGGGAAGTGTGTGAGTGGTAGCATTTAAAGAGAGAAAGGAAAAAGAGGGAGAGACCCAGTTAGTTGCAGGACCAGCAGTGACGTGGCAGGCACAGACACACTGAATGAGAGAGAGAGGAAGAAAGACACAGACTGATGGAAACACAAACACATGATACACAGGTACAAAAGTACATCACCACAAGTTAGTACTCTTCAGTCTACACTAAATCATACATTTGTTTCCTGGGACCCTATTTACACCTGCTGTGATTGGTATTAATATTTTATCTGAATAAGAAAAAACTAAACACGTTATCAGTGTTGTACAATGACAAATCTGTCATACCACCTCCATCTGACAGGACTGACCAGAGACAGTCTGGTGTTAAGAGAATTAAATAGTGAATTTCCATCCCCTCTTGCCTGATGCCTCTTCCACAATAATAGAATACAGTTTGTCCATTTTTTTTCCAAGCTAAGTGATCTCACCACCACAATCAGCAATCACTATTAATAACATTGTGAAGTTATCAAATCATTATTGTTTTATGAAGCTTTAACGTTCATCACAGCTGAGCTGACAGTCAGTCACCAGTGAGAGGAGCTCCACTGCTAAACAACTACTGATTCATTCTATGACACTGATGATGTTGATGCTTAAAGATTCTGCATAACTAATTTGCACATGCTTTGTTGACCTTACCATCCACCCCAGATTCTTCTCTAACACGGGTATGGGTTTTGTGGTGCTATAACAAGGAACTGCTACTTCCTGTCTCTGCCCCTCACAAGAACACAAAGTTAACTCATCAGGAAAACAAACCCAGGTCATGACCCTGACCTGTCAAATGAAACTGCTTGTTTAAGTTCTAGGGAAGATAAAGGTCATGGTTTAAAGTCACTTTGCTGTTTCAAATCATTTTCTAAGTTAATAGACTGCCTCATCACTCATAGCATTTCTGATTGTCTTCAGTTCAGTCAGAAGCTCAGTCTGTTCCTGCTTCAAACTGTGTAACTTTTTCATTGACTTCAGTCAACAACACAAGTTTAAGACCTGGTGTCTGGCTGGACCACGGATGTCAATGTGTGAAACTGAGGACGTAGTTGAAAACTGTTCAGGAACCACTGTAAACAACTGACATCATCACTTCGTATTTGAATTCTGCCAAGTATCAGCTGGTTTCCGTCAAGTGTCAGCTGGTTTCAGTCTGGTATCAGCTGGTTTCAGTCTAGTGTCAGCTAGTTTCAGTCTTGTGTCAGCTGGTGTTAGTCTGGTATCAGCTGGTTTCAGTCTCATGTCAGTTGGTGTCAGTCTTGTATCAGCTGGTTTTAGTCTAGTGTCAGCTGATTTCAGTCTATTATCAGTTGGTTTCAGTCTAGTATCAGCTGCTTTCAGTCTATTATCAGCTTGTTTCAGTCTAGTGTCAGCAGGTTTCAGTCTGGTATCAGCTGGTTTCAGTCTATTATCAGCTGGTTTCAGTCTAGTGTCAGCTGGTTTCAGTCTTGTGTCAGCTGGTTTCAGTCTAGTATCAGCTGGTTTTAGTCTAGTGTTAGCTGGTTTCAGTCTAGTATCAGCTGCTTTCAGTCTATTATCAGCTGGTTTCAGTCTAGTATCAGCTGGTTTTAGTCTAGTGTCAGCTGGTTTCAGTCTAGTATCAACTGGTTTCAGTCTAGTGTCAGCTGGTTTCAGTCTAGTATCAGCTGGTTTCACTATCAGCTTGTAAAGTTGGAATCACTGCATAAACGTCCCCTGATAGAAACTATTTGTGCCAATTCATTCTGAAAGGGCAACAGCCAATGGTGAAACTCCAACAGTCGGCAGGCCAACTAATGGTGTAACTTCATGACTCAGTCACATGGCATTCGGCTGACCAATGCTGTAACTTGATAAGTCAACTCTATCAGTCAGTCAGTCAGTCATAGACATTTGCATTTATAGGGCTGGCTTTGTTGTTACAGTCCAACCAATAAGTAAACCTGTACAAGCAAATGCTCATTAACAATAGAGGTATCACCTAATGATTTTCCACTACTGTAAGTCGAGTGTGTCACAGCTGAGATGAAAGAAGATGAAAGCTACTGATTCTGTCAGTGACAACAATAATTTAGCATATTCAGTTAAGCTGAGAGATTTATTCAAACATGTACTGAATACCTCTGGGCTGTTGCTAGGATACAGAATGCAAACTGTGGACTCCTGAGTCAAAGTCACACGCTTTGTTGACCCAATTATTCACCCTGGCATCCCCTCTAAGAGGTTTTGTAGAACTGTAATGACGTCCTGCTACTTATAGAGCTGCCCTGTTTGTGTTGTCTTTTAAAAGCAATTTAATGTCATGTTAATGTCTCATTTGTAATGTATTACCATGCCTCTGTGAAGAACTTTGAATCACCTTGTGTCTCAGTGGTGCTATATAAATAAACTGTCCTTGCCTAGAAACAGGCATTATTTGCTACCGGGACACTAGAAGCCACTTTTCATGAAATCCTAAACTTCCTAAATCCTGATCATGTGTTTGCCATCCAGTATCACAGTACATCCCCCCAAAACTCCTTATAGGACTGAATATGACTTACAATGTATTTAAAATGTTGAGACAATGTTGAGTAAAGCTGAGCTAATCTAGCTCCAACTATGTATACAGTAAAACGGATCAATGGTGGCCTATAAAAAATGTCAAGTTCCTCTGAATCCAGTCTACTTCTCAGGCCTGATATTTTTGTTCCATCCAGATACTAATGATGCTCTGGGACCAATAAGACCACCCAATCAGATATCTAGTACCAAAAGGGGTAACAACACTGGAACAGAAAGCAGATGACTTGTCTCTGTGGGTAGAAATTTGATACCACAAACTGTAACCTTAGCAATTCAGATTCAGTCACCACTGTATTTAGAACAATCATAACCATTGGTAAAATGTTTTCCCACACATTACATTAGTGAATGGAAACATCAAGACCCTGGGCAGGCAAGAATGTCGTTGCTGTTGGCCGCCAGATCATAGAGTGGATATAAACCTCATCACAATGTCATCACCACCAAATCCACACTATCGTACGGTAACATCACCTTCCATGTAATTGTTGTTGCCAGCTTTCCACCTACCCGCCCTCTTTGCATAATGAGAGCCTGTTATAATGGAGATCAGATTGTTGATCAATAGAATAACTTATTCAAATCACATTTCAATAGCAGATATAAACGAGTTGTCTCCTTTCAAAGACACTTATTGGACAAACTGTGTGAACCCCAGTGTTAGCGAAGCCAAAATCCAAAGAAACCAGAAAGCGACTGGTTTTCAAGACTTTAACTTCTTCATTCTGCACCTCAAATATCAACGGATGCTATTTAGCCAAATGCACTAGAGCCGGACAAACTCCCACAAACTTCATTTAGCTGGAATAACCTCAGTATGGACACACTGACACAAACACATAGCATCACATTAGCTTAATTTCCACACATGCCAGCCCCCTCTGAGTCAAACAGTGCTATGGGCATACTTTAGACTGGACGTCAGCGTTGTGGTCGTTCTGGAGGAGCAGGGCGGCTGACTTGGTATCGTCCTTGCGGGCGGCGATGTGCAGGGCGGGCAAGCGGACCTTGCCTTTAGTATCGTTCTCCAGTAAGATAGAAACCACTTGGTTGTGGCCCTGCTGGAGGGCGATGGCCAAAGGAGTGAAGCCATCCTGGATGAGGCAAGACATGAAAGAGAAGTTCCAGGATTAGCAACATATCGTTTTCAAGAAATCCTTAATCCAGGATTATTCAGTAAAAAGCAGTAACTTCAAACATCTGACATGTTTGGATGAAATATATTACATGACTGCTGATACATTAAATTGTCAAATAGAAACTGTTATTCAAATAATGGCCAAATGTCAAATAATTCCAAGAACAAATACATTCACTAATGACGGCTGGGTAAAAAACAATAGATAGGGGTAGAATTGCCTGTCCTAAAACAGCTGATTTGGTAAATTCATCTTTTCTTTAGCCTTGCCTTGTGGCAGGGCTCAAAGGGCCACACCACTTTGTGTCTAGACAAACACTGTCATGAAATTTGGTACTAACATTCATGTCCCCAGAGAATGAATTACAATGACATGACTGCAAAATGATGACATTCCCATCATATCTACCCTCATATCTACTTTGTATTTAGTGCTAATTTAATGTTCTGTAAATGAATAAATTATAAATAAATAAATTTTAAATAATAACACAGCAGCAGGCAACTATTTTTCATGTAAAGATATAGTGAAGTAATGGCGTCCTGCACAGAGAACAAAGTCACACCCCCCTCTTTGTGTGATGTAATCTGAGCCTTGCTGTTCTTTGTGTTGGTAGCTGGTCTGGTAGCACGTGCATGTTAGTGCATGTGAGTCCCTCCTGTTAAATAAACATTGGCTCAGTGCAGTACACAGCATTCAGGTGATAACCCTGCAGTGTTTCCTCCATGGAAGAAAACACTTTTTTCATCTGAAAAGGCCTCAGACAAAGAAAGAGATGAGACCAGAGCACAGGAGGACTGGACATGGGGACTACAAGCTGGTATCCCCCTCAGCTGGTGGTTTTTACCTACTCTGTCAGTGTCATTCATGCAGCTGGTCCCAGCGGATGAATCCGGGGTTGAATTTCTTTCCCTGTCCAACCATGGAGCCAATACTGGTCTGGTTTTACTGAGAGGAGAACCCTACGAGCTGCTAAAGGGTCCAGCTTGACTCAGAACAGTTTTTCCTTCTCCATGTGTCAGTAACTTGATGGGTCATAATGTTACATGTCTTTTTTCATTAGTGACGGCTACAGTAGACATGATAACGTTAGCTAACTTGCTGTTACCACTATTATAAATATAGTCAACAAATGTTGCTATCGCTAGCAGGCTAAATGTCAGAATTGCTGTGGAGCATACCACAGAAAATGCTAGCGTGGGCTAATGGTTGTAGTTAGGTTGTTTTTGGTGGCTGTCATGTTCACAGTAACTTTATTGAGTGTCTTGTTATGTGTTTTGTGGACAGTTTCACTGAGCTTCATAACACCTTGCTGATGGAGAATGTGAAGAGAGGGGAGGGCGTTTGTGGCCAATGAAGCGTTAGTTTGGGTCTGAGATGTTGTTGGTCTAGTGGGACATCCAGTGGCAGTGACAATCATTTACAGAGCTTTTAATCAATAATTTGCCAGTGACACAGTATACTGTATACATGAGGACATGGTACAGTCCAATGAGGTCATCTCACCTCTGTAGCAGTGCTCTGGTTGCCTCCATTCTCCAGAAGGTATCGCACCACATCCAGGTGATTCTCCTGAGCGGCCATGTACAAAGGAGTGAATCCATTCTACAGCACACAGGCAAGTACATCAGGTTAATGGATAAACTACTGGTAATGAAAAAAATCTTAAACACCCACTCATCATCCACAGAACACAACCCCAAATAAAACCATGGCTCTCTCTCCATGGATATTAATGCTGAGTAATCCGAGAGGCGCTATTGTCAGTGACTTTGAAGAGGATGAGAGCATTGAACACCTCCAGCCGCAGACCTCAGAGGCTCACCTGAGACTGTGCGTTGATGTCAGCTCCTCGCTTGACCAGGATCTTCACCACTTCAGCCTGACCAGCGAGGGAGGATATGTGAAGTGCTGTGTTTCCTTTCTGGATTAATAGAAAACATGAAAGAACAATTAGAAATAGGGCTGATTTCTAAAATACAATGCTCCACACTTCTTATCAGCAGTTTTCATTATGACCTAACCTCATTAAAAGATCTGTATCCGTGAATTGTAAACAGTCCAGTTGCAATAATGAGTAATTGAGTATTGTAATCAATCTGTCACTAATCGTCCAATCTCAAATTAACTGTCAAATGGCTGCAAATGTATTGCGATACTGTTTAGGCTCGGGGTGATATCCAAAATTTAATATGTTGATACAGTACAAATATATACACATACATATACATATATATACATATATATATATATATATGTATATACAGTATATGTGTGATATTATTGCTTGTCACATGCCAAGGTAATATGTGCAGCAAGCTAAGCAGTGAAATGAAGGTCAGACTCAGCAGGCAGAGCAGACCGCAAAACTGCAAAACTGACATTCTTTTTGTATGAAAGATATTGCATATGGCAGGAAATATCATAATATTTGATATTATTAAATATCAGTCCAAGCCTAATACTGTGTTTAGTACAAAGAGAGAGCTGAACTTATACCTCTGGGTGACTACTAAGTGTTCCCTTAAGATGCCTGTGCCACAAAAACTCACTTTATATGATCCAATATCACAAATACAGTATGAATTCTGTATATATTTATTATATGTTCTAGTACCAATGCTTCACTGTCGTGAGCACTTATACATAGAATGACATATTTGACGTCTTGGAAACTCTGGGACACAGCTGTAGAAATAAAGCTCAGCTGTTTGTGAACAATGTTTAGCTACACAAACTCTGTATGGAAGGACCTGCTAAAAAAATCTACTGTACATGACTGAAGAGGACAGTATGTGACTGTGATTCTCAGTCATGTCAACAATAAAGGCTGAGAAGTGTTTATCTTTGGAACTGGTTAAAATCTGTGTTCATGAGTCTACCATACACCGACCATGGAGCATGGAGTACTGTCATGGACACCACAGAGGAAGCTACTGGTCTCCAAAAAACATCACTAAATTCCCAAGTTCATCAAGGTCTCTTCCAGGTTAATGTCAGGCTGTCTGTCCATCTACTGAAGCTCACGAATAGCTGCTGATGCGGCAGGACAATGACCCTAAACATCTAAGTAAATCCACCTCCTGGAGTGGTCCAGTCAGAGCCCAGACCTTAATCCAGTAGAGATGCTGTGCTGCTCACACCAGACATCCTGACGATCTGTCTGAGCTGAGGCAGCTCTTTAAGGAAGAACTTCCAAACTTCCTGAATGTTGAGCAGCTCTGATCAACAGCTAGCGGAAGAGTTGGTTTCAGGTTATTGGAGCCAATGGAGGTTATTAAATCCATAATCGTGTGCTATTAGCTTAGAGGCACTGTGTTTGTCTACATTTGATCAGATCAGTTTTTATGACAAGTTAATGCAGAAAAACAGGAAGCTCTAAAAGGTTCACTGACTTGCTCTTACCACTGTACATGTAGTTGCATTTTGGAGCGACATAAACAAGAGTCACTGGAGCCTTACTCAGTAAACAGTCTGGACCTTCTCTAATTGCAGGAGTTGGAATGATCTGCATTGCTCTATGTTTACTACTCCACTATCCATATCACTTTTCTTTAGTGCTCAACTTGCTCCTCAGCTCTATTCCTACACTGAGTTCATCTGTAGAAGCTTGTTTTTCTCAGTGAATGATGTCAGTCCTAAACCTGGAGCTGGTCTTCTCAAAAAGGATGGTCATGCTATATTCCATAGCAGAATCATGGTCACATCAAAAATCACTGTGGATAAAAACAAGAGCTAAATTCTTACAATGTATATCCAACAGCCATACAGAATTCAGAGCACCTACACTGAGTGGTCTAGGAGAGTAGACTAAGTAGGGAGTAAGTAAGGAGACTAAGTGCCTGTCAAGTGTCAGGTGTCAGTGGCAGGTGTTAGACTCTCTCAAGAAAGTTCAATGGTCATGGAGCTGGTTGAACTGTCATGTATAGATCCTGACCTCGTTACCACAAAGTGTGAGGACAGAAGATCAGAAGCTGAGGGTTGGTTCAGATATCTTCAGTCCCTTTGAAACAGAGTTCCTGCTATATCACCACTAAGGAGAACCTTCTTATGCTGGCTTTGTTTGAACAAAGGCGCAACATTCCTGCCTTGAACTGTATAAAAGGGGCTTTAGTTACAACTGCCATTAAATGTTTTTACATATTATAAGCTAATTCTTTCTTCTGAAATTTCTATGTCTGAAAGCATGTTTAAAGAAGGAAAGAAAAACATTTTCATTTTCCTGCCAAGTGCACCTCTGACCAATAGGAAACAAACAGGAAATGGCTGTGACCGTGCTGACGTGAGGGAATGGAGAGCTGGAGAGTCAAGAGCTAAGCTATCATTATTAGCTGTGTTGCATCATCCACTTTTATATCATTCACTGCTGGAATATAAACAAAACAAACACAGTTTGCGAACATTTATGAGACACATAAACTTGATTAAACTGTGTTAACCTATTGTCTGATTAGCAACCAGAAAAGCTAGCTAGCTTGCCAAATGACAGTTAGCAAGGCACTTAGCTTTATGAGCTATTGGCTGTGTCCTTGCTAACTCTTTTTCTGTTCAATAGTGGTTAGGGTTAGAAAGGTAGAACGTAGAGGTGTAGAGTCACACAGCTATAATTAATCAAAGTAGTGTACATGCCATGGACACTTAGATAAAATGACAGAGAATAACTATGGTGGACACAGTTATGACTGACTAGGTTTAGTGTGTTACTGCCTGGCTAGCTTTTAGAACCACCTATTTTGCCAGGATGTGTGGATGAACCTCACTTTGCTCCCTCCTTAAGTGACTCTTCCTTGATGAGATACTGTGTCTTACCTTTGTGGCTGAATCCACCGCCGCTCCTCTGTCCAGCAGTTCCTGGACCAGATCCACGTGGCCCTCCTTGGCTGCCAGGTGCAATGCATTAAGACCATTCTGGAGAGAGATGAGGGAGGAAAGGTTAGGGACCAAATGACAAAGCATTAAGACAGATCCAAGAGGACAGTGAAGGATTTACCTCCTCCTCCAGGTCCATAACTTTCTGAGCCTGCCTTTCTGTCCTTCACTCTTACATGTGGGGGGACAGACTGAAATATCAAAGCTGGCTGTTAAACTTGGCTTCAATGTTGTGCCATGTTATGCTGTTGTGGAGGAGAGCCAGTCCTGGGTATGAAGATAAAAATAGTTGTGTGTGTTGTGTGTGTGTGCAAGTCAAATGAACATCCTCTTTTTTCCCACTCTGAGGTGCTGTGAACTCAAATATGGCTGTCTTGATATTGATCTGTGACGGCTACAACAATAAATATATATGAAGATTCATTCTAAAATACCACAAGAACCAGAAATATTTTGAACAAAGTTGTGGGACTAATTCATGCAAATGGCCAACTTCTCAGCAGGATACAGGCTTCTTAGAGGTACAGAGTGATATTTGAAGTTTCAAGTTGTAAATCAGTCATTACCTCTATCTGTTTTGGGCTGTAAAGTGTCATGTGCTGATTGGTTGGCAGGGAGTAGATGGGCAGAGCTTGCTCTGAGAGACAAGACGCTGGAAAACTCAGAAACAGTAACCGGCAAAGGGAAGTGTGTTTTTGTACAATCAAAAGACTGAAAAAGGTTTCCAAGGTACTTCTGGAAGACTCAGATTGAATATGGAGGGACATTTCAGCTTTAGTTTGCTTTCATAAATGAAGTAAAAATAACCAATATTTTAATGCATTGTTTTTTGCCACTAGGGGGTGCAAAAAAGTTGAAAACACAATATTTGACATTTTATCACCTTATGAGGTTCTTAGTGTGATTAAATCTCTATTGCTTTGTTAAGTATGCAAAGTAAACACATAAAAGATTCACACATTTCAAATATAAAGTACTGAGAAAAAAGAAATGAAACAGGCTATTAAAGATCAACTTTACACTTCATGTTCATCCATCGAGAGACACACCATTGAGCGCAGATTCACTTCCGGCGACAAAATACTCAAGATGCACAATGCTGGATTCACAATGAATCTGTCTCTAGTATGTTATTAATACATTAAAGCCACAACCTTGACATGTCTGATGGGGTCCATAATTCCAAATCGTGGAGAACCAAGATTTTACCACCTTCCTCCAAACTTCCTTGTGAAGGGATATTCCAAGATCTTTTTCCCAAGTCAGCTTAACACCCTCATAGTTTGGCGATTGATGTTTCTAAGCAAATTATAAAACCTATATGTCCCCCCACTAAGTTTCCAACTTGATCACCATGACGCCTGAATGCTACAGGGTAAGATTTTTCTTTCTATCTACAGTCATAATACAACTCTTCAGATTAATTAACTTAACTTAACTTAACTTAATTAACCAAAAATCCTTCCTGGGTTAATTATATTTCGACATAAGCTGTTGTGCAGCAAATGATTCCTGTCTAAGAGATCTTCAACAGCATTATTCCTGCTCTCTGTGCAGCTTTCATAACAGAATAAAAGTGGAGAAATAGATCTGACAGCCAAACAAAGCGTTGCTCCATTCACAGCCTCCCCTCTTCCTTCATGCCTTTGAGGAGTTGAGTGTAGGGGTGAATGTAGGGTTAGTTGTTCCCCCCTTTCCTCCTTCAAGTGACCCACCACTGATTCAATAACCTTTCAGCTGTCCGAACATCAGGCTGCAGTTTAAAAAGAGCCGCTGAGTCGATAAGTAATTTCCTCTCCACTGCCAGACTAACCCTCATCACACAGCCCCCTGAGGCTGTGATCCCACTGGACTCCGAGGGTCCCTACAGAGGCACCCTGTGGGATCCCAAAGAGACTGAATGCTTGTCCTAGAATCATCTGACTGTGCTTGAGTTCTCATTGCCCTGAGGTGTTCCATAGATGGCATGAGGCATCTGCCCCACAGCAGAGCAGAGTATGTATTCCTGCTGTTTTTGGATCAGTTGACATGTTCATACACCTGCCTTTCAGCTGATCTTGTGTCAGCCATTACTCAGCCACTGTGTTGGTACAATGGCTTGATTTAAAGTAGTAGTTAAAAGAACAGAAAAGTGAGCACTTTATTGTGTTTACTGAAGGTGCCCTGTGGTTTGGGTTTTTATTTTCACTGGAAAAGTAGAAAACCAAGTCTTCACAGCTTGTCTATTTCAAATGGACAAGTCATCTTTCCCACTGTATTCTGAGGCCATGGCATTTCACCAATGAATTATACTTGCACTTCATGATTTACTGTATGTTCAATGCCAATGTTCAGTAAATCCTTTATGCCCTGGGTTTGGAATGTAAGGCTGTGAAAACCTGCGTGACGGAAGGGCCTCATGTACACATGTATAATGGCATGTTACATAAAAATAATAAAATAATAAAAATAATTCACGCTTTAAATGGTTACTAAATCTAATAGTGAAATCATTTTATATAGAATTACAATTAGTTTATTTTATTTTATCTTTGTTTGTTTGTTGTGTATATATTTGTGTCATTTTTATATTTTCATGAGGTTATTCTATATTTCATATTTAGTGCTAGGCAACACAGTATCCATGGTAACGATGTAGCTATATAAAGTGCATTACCGGGGGAACAAGTCAGACTGGGCTTGCATCCCCCAGGTGAGTGTGTGACTGTTAAATGAACATCTATAGATATGAATATATAAATGTTCATCCAGTCTGAGGGAGAACGTCATTATATTGACTTACACGATTATCCATGTTTATTCATTTATCTTTAGCAGTTGTGTCTTTATATTATTCATAATGGAAATGTCTGATCCTGATTAGAGTTAGACTGTTGGCCATATCATTTATTTATTTGCAGTTCAATCGTTAGTGTTTGAAGTTTGCTTTGATTATGATTTTTCTGTCAGACTGAGTAGTTTTATTGAGACCAGCTGTTATCCCCCATATCCTGAAGTGCTTGTTTCAATAAAAATAGGTCAGTGAAACGAGGAGCTGTCTGAGTCTCTTCATTAGAGTCAATCAGTCAACTGCCAGCTGTTACTTCAACATTGTCTTCTACACAACACGGAGACTTATAATTTTGGATGTTGTAAAAGAGATTTAACTACAGTAGCCCTGAGAGCTCAACACACTGCAACTTCAGAAAATACATGCTCATAGACAAAACGCAACTTCAGAAAACATCTTCATCAATTTGACAACACATGAGTTGCAAATACTCACAACACAACAAAAGTGTTCCAGGGGACACTAAAAAGTGATGAGTGGGTGCACCATGGCTCACCTGGTACAGTAGCATGGAGGCATACTCCTTACCGCAGAGACCTGGGTTCGAGTCTGTCCAGTGGCCCTTTGCTGCATATCATCCCCTTCATCCCCTCCCATGCTTCTAACTTCAAAAGTCACAAAGCAGCTGCGTCCCAGCAGCTTAATCAATTTTTAGTGTCCCCTGGAAACACCTGTTTTGTCAAATTGATGAAGATGTTTTCTGAATGTGTTTGTGTTTTGTCTTTTTGCATGTGTTTTCTTAAGGGCCTTAAGAGCCACCGTAGTTAACGGGGTATAGTAAACTGCATATATAGATATTCAGAAGCAGACTGAACCCCATCATAGTAGCATGTCTGACCCTCACTCTAACCCTTGCAGTAACCACAACCATTTCCTAATCTTGCCCATAGTTTATTGGCTTTAATCAAAATCTTAGAGCAGCCTTACCTCTGCTGTAGTTGAGAGCTGTTGTAGAAAGAAATAATGTTATGGTAAAAAGCCCTGTCCTTGAACACTGTCCAGTACCAATGTTTTTGTTGAGCGATGGTGCTGGTTTTTGAAATAAGCTTCACTTTGCTCAGTATGTATTTTCTTGAGAAGGACACTAAATAGTGTAATACTATTGACAGTTATCTCCTTCAGTCAGACATCAACATGGAGCACCTTGTACCTGACTGGATAAACACACTGGTTGCTCATTGCTTTTGACTTTTAAGATAGAAAATCCTGGAAACTATTCTTCCAGGTTTCTCCTGAACTATCCACCAAAATCACCACTTGATATATTTAAAGCCAATAAATATATCTGTGTATTGTATAACACCTTAGTTATAGAGTAGTTGAGTATCATGTCATCATCCAAACACTGGTCACAGTTCGCTGACTGATCCGACATACATCTGTTTGAGTGTAGATAATTCTCTGTGGATGTTTCATAGACTTTAATCTCATTAAGCTGTGCTCTGGCTTTTTGTGATGCGCTAACAGATTTTTTAATGTTCTTCTTTAGTGATGGAACTCGATAACCTGGTTCTGGTTCCAGACATCAGACAAGTGCATCTTATTCAGTGATTCAAACAGTTCTGGCGGTGTGCGTTTCTCCCCTGCACATTCAACCAATCAGAGCTTTGTAGCAGGAAGTGAAAATTGGGCCATTATCTTTCTAGCTATCTAGCTATCATCTGTGAAGATAATACCTTATTGAAAAGCATGTGAAGAAAATGTAGGTTGCCTATGGAGCAAGAGGGGAAAACATATATTCAACCCCCCCCCATTCCCTTGTGTCTGTTACACAGTACTTCATCTCACAACAAGCTTCAAACAGTCTGTTTGAAGTTGCACCTGTCACTGTTCTCCCATAAAACAGCACACAGCTATTTTTCAGCTGTGACTATCAGACAGCCCAGATGAACGAGGTCCTGTCTTTTGTCCCAGAGGACAACAACAGAGAAGAAGTGTAATGAAGAATATTCTCTCCATGTGGTCAGGGAGGAGTTCTTTTTCTTTTTTTTTTGGAGCGGAAGTATTACTAGAAGTATCATAAATATACTGCATGTTGATTACTCACAATGTCAACTAACATAGGCAGAAACCTGTGTTTTGATACTGTTTAATATGAAACATAAGCAGACATCACTTTAAAACACACAACCTCCCAAAACCCTCAGGGCTCTATTTATCTTTGTACACCCCCTCCACTGTGCCCTCCATTCACCTTCAGGAAGCCACTAACCCCTTCATCATGCACCACCCGTCCACCAAAGTTAAAAGGGAAGGAGTCCTTCCAAAGAATAACTGCTCATAGCTAGTTGGAAACAGGAAAGTCCCCTCGGTAGCAAAAAGGATTTACTCCAACCAGTCAGACCAGTGCTAGTACTCCATCACTGTAATGGAGTCATTTAGGTCCCATTGGTGTCGACTTTTGACTGATTTCATGGTCTTTTGAATCTCAAGGTGCTCTCATGGTCGAGCATCAGTTACCATTTAACCACTTGTCTGACATCACTCTCTACAGAGGTGCCATGTTTCATGTTGGTGGTGGGCCGACACAACCTTTAAAGTGCCCTCAACAACTGTGATTATCATCATTGATCACTGATTTCTGGTCTGAAATCCTATAAATACACACCTGATTAATGAACATTTCACTTCCATTCACTGACACGGATGATTTTTTTTTGAAGAATTTTCACACTCAAAATTTTTTTTCCTTTGGACTGTTGATAGCAGTTGACAAATATGAATCTTAGCACCAAAGTTGAAAATTGGATAGAAACCTGAAATGTGTCTCCAGTGGACAGACATTACCCATGCATCTCAATTTATTTGCTAACTAAATGATTGATGAAACAAATATCTGCTAAGCATCTGGCCATCAAAGGCCATTATCACTCACACACAGACACTATCTCCCGTCTGTAATAATAAGAAATAACTGACATTATATAGCCGTTCAGAAATGTCACTTGTTTTGAGGATGGTCCATGGAAACATGGATTGGGCAAAAACAAACAACAAAACGAATAAAAGGACTTCCTTCGTCCTCAGTGGATGCAGTTCAGTCAGTTTATTCAGGTGTGATGTGGTTTCAAAATCTTGAAGATTCAAATATCAAGAAATAGAGATATTGAAACTACTTATGACAATCAATCCAATTGTTTGTGATTGTTATTTATACTACCTTTTCACTTTTACCCAGCTGAGTAACACCTCATTTGCATTTTGTTTCCCAGCTTTTCAAAACTTTGCTGAATATGTACTTGTCTGTGACACAAAGCTGGAGAGAAACACGTGCAAACAAAGGAGCCCAAAATATCATCAGGGGCACAAGTGATCGCATATCGCACATCAGTTGATAAAAAAAAGAGTGCCATAGGCAAATGTTAGATTTCCACTCCATGTGACTTTTGTTTATCGGGCTGCTCATTGCCAGCAGAGAACTGTTTACATCCTATCAGCTTTCACTGCCCCTCTTTGTCCATGTCTGGAATGCTAATGGACTTAGAGGAGACAAGATAATGACTAAACCTAAATAAAGAAACTCTCTCTGGTCAAACATTCCCCTACAGGAATGTGGAGCCCTTTTCATATGATAATAATAATAATACAAAATGTGTGTGTGCAGATTAGAGGTGGACAACATGAACTAATAATGCTAATGTTGTCCTTATGAGACATTAGAATGAAGCTAACTATCACTCAACACAGTGTATGCTATAAAGTTAGCAAAAACATTGGACTTAAAAGGTACTGTAAGTTGAAGCTGCACAATTTTATTTACAACAAAAATGGATGTAATGACCATATGTAATGTGACATGCGCTACACAAAGTGACAACCCCACAGTTCATTGTTGGATTTACAGCAACTTCTGCTCTCATAAATAACCTGTCCTCTACCTGCTGAGCAGCAAACAGCACACAGACACAGTCACAGAGCAGCCGTGGAACATAGTGCAACATTTAACAGCTAAAGAAGTTGAAGTTATCATCACCCTGGTTGATTTAGCTCTGACCTCTTCTACAAAAGCCTTTCCTCTGACAAAGTTAGTGACCATTTGTATAAACACGAAGCTGTAAAGGTGGACTGGTGAGTCGATCGGTTTTCATGTTCAACATAATGACGTTTAATGTCCCTGACAACCTCTGTAGTCTCATTTAGACACTTGTTAGCAACCGTCCTTTTTAACAGACAGTAAAAGCTTCAAGAAATCTGGACTAGTATTTACTGATGTATTTTATGCCATGAATAAAACCTGAAAATATCTTGAGCTTGTGTTAACCATAGACCTTATTTCAGTCTGACCAAATTTGACCAAAACCACATTCAAAAAATCAATCTGCACTTCTGGGTTTTAGGACTCATTCCTACTGCGCTCTATAAAGTAAATTTTGTCGAATTCAATTATTGAAGTCGACCTAATAATAGTAGTTTGTATGATTTTATATTTTGGTGTACTGAGGGTTGTAGAGAAGTCCCATTTTCTTTGTGTTGCTACATTGTTGTTGTTGTTGTTGTTGTTGTTGTGTTTTAGTTTGTGCTCTACAAGGTTTCCACTTCCACCAAAATACACAGTATATGATTTTTTGTCTATGTTGTACAGCCCTAATTGTGTGAGTGTGAGTGTGTATGGGTGTTGTGAAAGATGCATGTAATGTTGTGAACTGTCTCCTACCTGATTGCAGGTGCTTATGTCCACACCCCCTTTCAGATATTCCAAAACCTTGTCAATGTTTCCCGCCCTCGCCGCTCGCAGGAAACTGGTGTTACTGTCCGACTAGAGGAGACAGGGAGGAAACACATTTTCAAAATGAATCAACATCACATCCAAACTACATTCACATTTTGTCACTGGCTGTCAAACAGAATGGTAATCACATTATTTAGCAACTTTGCCTGAATGAGCCATGTTTTGAAAATGAAAGTTCATAGTTAAAAATATCTGTTCTATTAAAGTCTGTTCATGAAGGCGATGCACACAACATCAAATAATTTGTAATTAACTAGACTCCAGATCTTATTTTCCATAGAGAATTTTACTGTTTCTCTTGGTTTCACTTGTAGTAAATATGACTTGCGGTACGGTGTCCCACAAGGATCCATTCTGGGACCTCTTTGTTTTAATCAAGATATGCTTCTGCTCTTTTCTATCATCAGCAAGCACAAGCAACGGACATATGCAGACAATACATAACTTCTCCTGATAGCATGACACCTTAAGATTCACTGTTCAAACTGAAAAATCAAAGATCTCAAACTCTGGATGTCACAAGATGTCACACAAACGTCGGTAAATCAGAGCAAAGATAGAAATATCATCTAAAAAATCAACCAGAATTATCTTTAAGGCTTTGCTCCTGGGCTAAAAATATTTTGATTGTCTCACCCCAGCTTCAACATGTACCAGTTTATCAAGCTGACAGATTTCTCAGGTCACATCTCAATGAAAATCTGGTGACAGACCATTCAGTGCTTATGCTTCTAATTTGAGGTTTGTACCTACAGTATTTTCTTTTAAGGATGTTTTTAGTTTAGCTTTGTGAGTTAAGTCATTATTTTAACTTATTTTCTTCTATTTTGTCACTCTTTATCAAATGGTGAAAAAACGCTTCACTAGATCTTCAGTCTAGTGCAGTATGCACGTTTATGCAGCCAACATGTTTTAATTCTGTATAATGGAAAAATGGTCTTCTTAAAGGTCTACGTTGGCATCGAGACGAAAGTCACAGTAAAGCATTATATGCATATACTGTAGCTTTTCCTAAGTGCAAAACAATGTGTATGTCCCTGGTTGGGGAAGGACATGTCCCCTGTCTGTTTTTGGATGCTGAGTGAGCTGCAGTTGGAAACAGACCAGGACTGTAAGGAAGCAGAATGATTCAGCATTTTCCTCTTGGTGCCTTCACTAAAGCTAAATCCTGGCTCACACACAGCTTGTTCAAAGCTCCTAGCGCTCTGCTGCTCCTGTGGAAAAACACTGTGTGATGCTTATTTTTACTGCATTCAAACTGCGTTACTCCTTCCACAGGGAGGTCAGAGGTCACGTACAGACACACTGCAGCACCACGCTGGAACTGGTGGGGACTCACTATCATGCTCATGGACACCTCTAGCTGAGGAATGGTCTCTTATTGTCTGTCAAGGTCATTTTCATCAGCAAGCTGTGAGGTTCAGAATGAAAACTGTCAGCCATAAAACTTCAGTCCAATGACCAAAGTTTATATCAGGTTTATTTTCTCCAAAATGTAAGGGAAACAAACACATGCGCTGATGAATCAGAACTGCCGATGTGAAGGTGAAAGAGAATGAATGAGAGGGAGTGCAGTCAAATATTGATTAGGACAGGACAAGAAAAGAAGTGAGGTCAAGGAAGTGAGATAGATGAAGAAAGCCTTTCAGTATTGACAGAAATTAAATCTGAAGTTTTGGTCTCTTTCCCTTCGTCACGACCTGTCACCTGCAGTGTCAACCTGCCCTCACTGTCTCAGAGATCAGAGAGGATGATACAGCACTGATGATGTATGAAATGAGCAGTGACACTGCAGCGCTGATGTCTACCTCAGACACACACACATTGCTCTGGTCTGATGTTTGTGGCTGACCTGCAGTCAGCTGCTGTCTGGCTGCTGCAGAGAGCTGCACTGCATCACTCATACTTTCAGCTACTGGAGCTTTTTGCCGCACAGACACAGCCACCTCGAAGGACAACGCTGGTTCTGACTGTTTTACAAAGTCCATAAGTTTGTAGGTTTACATTAAAGGAAGCCAGTGATTCACAGCAGCACACTATGAGTCTATGTGCAGAGACATGTTTCAGATAGGACATGCAGTTATATATGTGATCATTTCCTCTAACTAACTCCTCAGTGTTGCATTCAAAATTGTTCTGAGATTCGAGAGTGAGTTGTCAAAAAAAAATACACTCATCTGGTGGGGGCACTTACTAACCACAGTTTAACATAAACCATGTATTTGTCCATATTTAGCCCTTTTCTTCAGAGGACACATTCAAACAGACAAAACACAAACATGTTAAAGATAGCACAGATGACAACAGAGGTGTTTCCAGGGGACGTTTACATGTGTTTTTCAAAGTTGCAGTGAATTGAAATCTCAGAGCCACTGTACTTTTCTCTGTGCATGCAGAGAAATAAATCTGAAATCAATCTTTTGATTTGACTTCTGAGTAAAACAAACTTTCCAAAATATCAGAGTGCTGCTTTAATGAAGTGATCACATTAAAGTGTCTGATCCCTTGAACTAAGACAACACAAGTCACAACTCCAACAGTCAAGGAACACCAGCAGCGTCTTGGCACACAACATCACAAGTTGATGCGGGTCAAGTGTCAGGATACACCACTGTTGTATGTCCTGGTGCTGACAATCAGCTCCTCAGTGTCAGACAGCTGCTCACTTGAAGGACTTTTCATTTGGGATTTTGTGATCTTATAAGAACTCGGAATTAGACTCCTTTTCACATGCAGTTTCCATTAATATTTACTGAACTGGTGTTTCATACTGTTGGCATATTGTTATATTGTCACAGTGCACAGGGCTGTACATATAATATGAAAGGGAGCTTCCTTTGGCTGCAGGTGTTGTATAGCCTGATGACAGTGGGAACAAACTGAACCTCTCTGTTCTGCAGCACAGTGAGATGAGATGTTTGCTGCAGCTGTAGCTGCTTCTCTGTCCTGCCAGAATGTTGTGGGAGGATGGTTGGTATTGTCCAAGATGGCCTCCATCTTACATTGCATGCATCTGTCCACAACAGTCCTTAGTGAGAAACTTTTTTTTACCAGCTTGTCCAGTCTCTTTGTGTTCATGTCTGACATGCAGCTGCCCCAGCAGACTGCAGCATGAAAGAGTACACTGGCCACAACTGACTGATAAAACATGTGCAGCATTTCACTGCAGACGTCAATGGACCTGAGCTTCCTGGGGAAAAAGAGCCTCTTCAGGTAGATGGCATCCGTGTTCAGGGACCAATCCAGTTTACTGTCCAGCTCACCACCTCAGTGTCCTTCCCTCAAATGTTGACTGGCTGAAGGGTGGTCCTAGACCTCCGAAAGTCCATGACTATCTCCTTGGTCTTGGAGCTGTTCAGAAGGAAGCAATTCTTGTCGCTCCATTCACAGAAAGCCATCGTCAGATCCCTGTCCTCCACTCCCTGCTTGTTCCTGATCCGCACCACAAAGCTGCGTGATCCAAGTATTTCTGGATGTGGCAGGACTCAGAGTTGTATTTAAAGTTAGCCGTATACAGGGGGAACAGGAACGGAGCCAGAACAGTTCCCTGTGGAGCCCCAGTGCTGCTCATCACTGTCCCTGAGACACAGTTACCCAGCCTGACGTACTGTGGTCGTGTTGTCAGGTAATCCCCAATCCAGCACGTGAAGCAGGGATCCACCCCCATCCCTTCCAGCTTGTCTTTAAGAATCGAATAAAACATCTAAAGATAACATCTGATGAGATGGGAGTCTGTGGTCTAATTTGTGTCAGTTTACGTCCTTGATGTGAAAAAGTTTGAGAACCACTGATCTATATCATTTTTCAATTGCATATATTTCTTAATTTCCCAATACTGTTGTGTGTGTGTATATATACACTGTATAAAATACTGCATATATACTATCTATAACACTATATATCTAAATAAATGCATATGTATATTGTATTCACACCTATACCTTTATATAAATATACTCATGGACCTACACATCATGGCATCTCTAACTTGTCTTTTTAATTGATGCCACTCAGATTGAACCTAACTGTCTGCCTACCTCTCAGCCTGCCTCTGTTCCTCTTTAACATGTGACCTTCCTCTCACAATCAAACAAAAAATACTACACTGTCCAGTGTTGGAGAGACTTGTTCATTCAGCCTCATACATGTTCTGACAGAGTTAGCATTGTTTGCTAGCAGCACTGCACAAAGCAGCCATTACCACAATCAACCCTGTCTGATAATACCCTCACATTCCCTTCAGAGCTGCCGAGTCACATTATGCAAGACCCTGCCCTAATCATATCTCAGCGACTGGCAGGTTGCTATAGTGACACTTGGACCAACAGGACTCTGAGACAAGTGGGGCTTTTCAATGGGAAACACTTCACATTGAAGAGAAAGGGAGAATTGTGGCCGCCAGCTTCCTACAGAAATTGTTTCATAACTCTGGGGTATAAGGAGCTTAGTCAGTTTGTCACTCTCTTTGATGGGGAAATGTTTTGAATGTTCTCTGAGAGGCTTACAGTTACATGAAGGGCGTGTTTGGGTGAGTTGGCAAGAAATAGAAACAGAAATCAAAAATAAAAGAAACTTTAGTCAAGTATGAAGTTAGTTGCTTTTCTACTTAGTTCACCACTGTTAAAAAAGAACATTTCATGATAAATGAAATTTTAAAAACTAACAGCGACGTCATATGCTTCTTTCATATATAATTGTATGATATGTACCCCTTCTATAACAATCTGTTCCTGCAAGACTTAATCAAACCTGCCAAGCGTGACAAAGCACAGTCCTGACAACACATTACATCAAACATTCATTTACCAAGTCACTGTCTTCCTCTGTGGAGCACAGAGATGCATCAATAATGCAAAACCATCCTCTAATCCGTCCCTAACATACACTCTGTGAGATACCGGAGCCCAGACTGGAAGCATCCTCACCCCACAGAGACAAGCACTGCCCTCTCTGGAGGTAACCATGACAACCTGGCTTTCTGTGTGTCGGCAGAGCTAGCGGAGTGAGCACAGAAGGCAGGGCAAGAGTGTATCACTCACATTTGAAATATACTGGTGCTAACACTGTAACAGCATTAGAACAGATCCAACTACTGCTCATATCTTCATTAGGAATAGTTTGAGTCATATAACCATGATACTCCTGGCAAACATGCTAAAACAAGACAAAAGACTTCATTCAAAGTCCACTTACTAACTTTTTCCAGAGCTTCCAAGAACATCCCTAAATAAGCAACCATGGTAACAGTTGTTTGACAAAATCATTTTAACTAAAGTTCAATGAAGGCCATGTGATGCAGTAGAAAGCTGTAGAAAAAGCTAGTGAGTTGACTACATTCATGCCTCCATCCTGTGGTTGCTTCCCATGACATTTACATATTAATTCAATTTATGATGACTGCTTTCCTTGGCACAGTGACTGAATGGAAGGTCACATGTGTAACCCAGGTTCTCTGAGTCTCTCCACCCTACATATTCAATATGTACGGGCACTGACCCCCCCACAGGGGTTTAGTTTAATTAGCTGATCAACATTGATCTTTATCTAATTTTTTTTGGATGTCTGTGGATCATCACTATTATTATTAATATTATTGTTATTGTTATTGTTATTGTTATTGTTATTGTTATTGTTATTGTTATTGTTATTGTTATTATAGTAACCACTTCAGTTAATGCTTAAAATAATAAAAAGGTATGTTGTTCAGCCTGGTACTTGATCCACTCCTCTACATGTTGGAAACGTGGAACCGGATTTGATGTGGAGGGTCAGTGCATAACTTCTCTTGTCTTTGCCAATGGCTCAGTGCTACTCAGCAGTTCCACAATAAGCTGAGAGTACTGGAAAAGCTCTGTTTAGTTATGGACCAGACATCTTTATGTTTAATATAACAATATATACCAAATATGTTGAGGCTCAGTTACAGTTACAAACAGTTTGAGATGCTCCACTTTGTAATTCAATGATGTGAAGAAACAAGTTCCAGGATCAGGACAGAGCAACAACTGTCACAAAAATGTCACTAAAGTCAAGAAACCTCATTCAGACACAAACAAAATATCATCGTCCCACTGACATATATTTTTATACTCTGCTCCAGGAAAGACGAGACATGAGGACTCAGCTCCAGACTGAAGGAGCGATATGAATTCCCAGTAGCTGCACAACAGTGGCTGGTGCTAAAGTCATTACATTGCTCTTCAAATTAGCCACAAGAGTCCACATGCTGCTGAGCAGGGATACTTTAGGAACAAAAATGTCACACTGGCCTTTAAAGGGAGAGGAGAGGGAGCAACACCCCCACCCGTCACACATACACACACACACACACAAAAAACACACACTTACACACCAACACACACACAAAAGTTCAAATCCTGAACACCTGGGTCATTTGTCTGTACCTGTTAACAGATATTGCAAGGTACAAATTCGGCAGTTCTAACAGTGGGTCCAGTGTAGTGTTCACAGTTTTCTTTGAATGCAAAGGTGGCTAATGTGAAAACCTGCTAGTGCACGCCAGCTTATCAGTAACAGCTACAGAGAGTCCCTTCATCAAGACTGTAACCGAAATAAAAATAACTCAAGATTTAAAAGTGAGACCCGACACTCCAAAAAAGTTACTCAGAACCTTCTTATCTGTTCAAATCTCCTAAAATACTCCACACAGAGCAGCTCAGGAGTGTCCCAGTTACCTGAACCTGATCTGTCTCTGCTGCACAGGCCAGTCACAGCTCTTACCAACATCAATGGAGGCTGCACAGGAAAATGCTCCACACAGTAATAATCCAGTGAAGGGTTGTGGTCCAGGTTAGAGAGGCTCCCGGCTGTCCTCAGGCCCTTGTCTGAGCCACACACCTTACACACCGCGTTGCCCATAATGCAAAGTATTCAAGGCTTTCCCATCAGAACGTAAAGGAATCTAAATGAGCATTTAATGACTCTGATAATCCATTCCCTGCTTCCCCTACCCTCCCCCTAAAAACCTTACAGGCTACCATCCAGGGGGGGCGACACCCTCAGTCCTGACCAAACCTCACTTCTCTCTGGCCTAATCAGACCTCCTGTCACAGTTGCACCACTTGACTGGACTTGGTCCTGTTTCTACTCCCAGCACAGAGCTAGCTCTTCCTCATTGCTAATCCCAACTCCCTGATCATTGACTAACATCTCCCCCCTCCCCACCACGTCCCATCCTGGCTATTTTTACACCCACCAGCCGAGCTATGCATGTAGAGAGAGAGGATAGAGAGGGTGGTCGGCTCAGGCCAGCAGGCCAAAACAGAAAGGGGGAGGGGGCATCACAGACACTAACATGGACTGATATCAGGCCAATATTTTGTGCTCATATGAAGCATGTGTTCTCCAAAAAGATTCCTAAACATGACACTTCAACTATCAACTAAAACCAGAGACACAATAAAAACCCTTCACAGGCCAGTGGCTCCTGTTCAACTTCTTCTTATCAATACATTTTCTGTTTTAAAACAAATCAGGAAACTCAAATCCGATTTTAAATGATTTCCAATGCAAATCAACATGTTTCAAGTATTTGAATTTGAACCAAGCCCAGCTCATTCTTGGTTTATCTCTCAGTGGCACTGAACTACGTATCAATAAGTTACAAGTAACCAGTGTAACCCCAGTACATATACATGTAAAAAACACTAGTAAACGATAGTGTTAATGTGTGTTCCCCTGCTGATGCCATGTACATGCGTGACGTGGCTCCTTTAAGGTTCTAGTGGTGTTCTGTCGTCAAGGGGAACTGTGTCCAGGACACTTGTCACTATGTGCAATTTACGTCTTGGATACAACAGATGCTGTAGACTAATTAAATCTACAAATATCATTACAAGTACTGGTGGTTACATGAGTTGACCCCTGCTGGTTCCTTTGGGACTGTGATCACTCGACCTCATGTCACGGACTGTTTAATTGAAGTAGGCATCGTGTTTTGCTAATGCAGATCTGTGTCAGACTGTGGGCCAGAGCAGGGCCGTATTGATTCTGCTGGACTGGATGAAAATTAAAGTCACACAGACCTTTTCATCGCAATTGATTGGCTCTCAGAATTAATGGTGTGCTGTTTAATAGAAGCTTTAGATGTCAGGTCGCTAATGTTTCTACATGTCAGTGTCAGTCTGTATGTTTGTATTTACTCCGTGTGCATGTGTGTGTCCTTGTGTGTTGACATCAGGGAAGTAAATGTCCCCTTTCACTTTGCAGTCTTCTAGGTCATGACTCAGACAATACTCTTACTGTTGAAAATATCACCCAAGCAATTCTCATTCACTGAATATGTTAGCGTAGGGAGAAAGACTCCTTTTTGTTGAGAGCATCATAGAAACCACATGAGAAAGCAGCTTTGGAGTTTTCTATGAATGAATTAATATAAACCGAGTGAGCAAGCACAGGATCGTCACAATTTCCATATATAACAAAATCCCAGTTAATGAGAGGAAGTGAAAACCATCTGAACATTTCAACCGAGAGTAATGTACAATCAGAAACAGAGCTCAAACCGTTGTTGATTTGAAAACACCTCTTCAGTTAAAACTAGAATCACCTCCTGGTGGTTGTCTGCCTCCTCCACTCAGACTAGTTTCAGGTTACATCCCTGTTTATCCAGAGTCATAGAAAATATGAACTATTTGTGTGAAATTCTGTCATAATTGCTGTGAAGTCTTGATTCTTATGGCTAAAAAGTTTTTTGTGAGATCATTGTGACTTTGACCTTTGACCTTTGACCACCAAAATCAGTTCATCTTTGAGTCCTAGTGAATGTTTGTGCCAAATTTGAAAGGATTCTCTTGAGGAGATATCATGTTTTGTTAAGTCACTGTGACCTTGACCTTTTACCAACTTTGGTGTTACTGAGATATCATTTCCACAAGAATGGGACAGATGGAAAGACAACCTGAAAACAATATTCCTTCGGCTATGACGGTCGCAGGCGTGGAGATATGAAAAAAAGCCTTAAAAGTAGTTGGAGACTCCCTTAATAAAAGGCCTTATTATTAGGAATGCTATGGTTTGAATTTTAAAGGAATCATATTGGCTGATTGAACAGGATTCCTGGTGAGGTGACATGGTTTTGTGTAACTTCACAAAATTAAATAAAATGGGATAATGGTCAAATAGAAAGACATACTGTGCATTCTCAGGAGATTTAAACTGGTCAGTCTGATTAGAGCATGAGTCCCCATGAGTCCTCATTTTATAATACAGTCAGGTGAAGCTGTGTGTGACCTTTAGCAGCACCTAAGATAGTAGGTGAAGTTTTCTGCTGCATGTGTAAGGTGAGAAGAATGACCTGCTTCTCTAATGAAAATATCACTCTGGTGGAGTGGCAGGGGGTCTTGTTTCATGGCAGCATCATATACATGCAAATATGCACACAGGCGCACACACACACACACATGTGCACACACACACACACACACACACACACACACACACACACACACACACACACACACACACACACACACACACACACTCACACACACATGCACACACACACACACAGGTCACTGAGTTGCACCTATCATTCTACATACAGTAGGCCTGTCTGAGACATGTGAATTATATTGAAGTGTAAATAAGTCAATGGCAAAGAGAGGTAACAAATACAACATGAGGTTGTCAGTAAATGACTCCTCTTGTATCAAGAAAGAAGAGAAACACAAGTGGATTCTATCTCACAATTTGTCTCAGAGCAAGACACTTATGAAACATTTACTGACCAGAAACCAGTGACCCGAGCCCCATATTTGGTTTGTGGAAAGTTGCATATCATTCCCTTACTCTTACCCCTCTTGACTATGACGTGTCATATAAATGCATAAAATGCCCAAAAACCTCATTTGATTTGGCAATGTCAGGTACTCAGCAATATCTATCTAAAGTCAGCTAACATTAGCCACTCTTAGCTGCTGGTCATACCAGACCCAGAGAGGTCATACCAGCAAAACTCATAAACTGAGCAGGTTTGAATTTTATTGCTCTGCATTTGTAAGGGGAAGAACGTGTTTTGTCTCCTTTCAAGTCTCCTTTTCAAGTTGTAATAGTCTCTTAAAAAATGTCGTTGTAAGGACCAATTCTTGACTGAATCACTTATTTGTGATAACACATTTATACTAAATGCCAGCACAATCACAGTTAAGCAAGTGATCACATATGCATATCATTTCAGTTGGGTTTAGCTCCATCACTGTCACCTCCCAGGCCTTTTTAGTTTCATTAACCTTCTCCTGGATGTAATTTGCTTAATGTCTTGTCCAATCTCCTCACTGAAGAGCAGTCATCTGCCAACACACTCATCCAATTAGGGAGGCCAACTGATGAAGTCATGGGTGTGGTTGTATGTGTGTGGTTTGACAAAGGTCAAAGCTGGCCCTATACAGGTAGACCACATAATTCTCCTCAACTCATTAAGTTTAAACAGGAATCTCTGTAGCCACAGAGATCGCCCCCCCCCCCCCCCCCCCATTCAGTCCCACTGGGTAATCCACTGGGCGGGGCGGGCGTTGACAACAAATGCTTTTAATCTGTGCTCGACCATATGGCTTGCTGGCTGCGGGAGGGAGGGGGTTGTTAGGCAAAGCCATGTACTACTGCTTTATGTTGTGGGGGTAAATGTGATGACAAGAGTGTGTACAGGAGGTGTATGAAAGGATTTACTAAAGAGGGGAAAGGCAGGAGAGACATTTTTCATTTGAAAGTTGAGGGGGTTGTACTGTAGCAGCTCTAGCAGGGCGGGAACACGTCCCACATGCTAAAGCTAACGGCTAAATCCAAGCAAGGAATTTTATATTTGTCACCATCAAGTACTTTAATGCTAGATCTGTCTACCCATAAGAATTAGGCTTCACTATAACATAACTGCTATGGAAAAAAAGAAAACATGAATTATAGAAGTTGGAGGCTGGGTTGCTATGGAAACACAGATTTAGAGAGGGTTTGTGCACAGACTTTTCTTCTGCTTCTTGCAGAAAATAGCTTGTTCTATGTGAAACCTCTGTAACACTGACAGATCTGATGTTTTGAACTGGACAGTGAGAGGACAGAGACGTGGCCCATGTCTCTCTTTTCCCTAATGAAGGACTGACAGGTTGATTTGCTCCTTGAATAAGCCACAGAGCTGGTACAAAGATTATTGAGACCCCATGTGAATTCTTGTTATCCTGATTCTGCCCATGTTATGATCACATCTCATTATGTGATCATAGATTACCATAATTTAGGTAGTTACCATAAATTAGGGAACTGAAAGCACGCAGCACATCCTGGGTAAAAGGACACTTGCTGCAATGTGCTACTGACAGAATGGTGAGGCATCCACACACTACTTTTCTGTAGCGTTGTAACTATAGGCTACCGTTAGTCATACTGTCAGAAGGTGATCAGAGCCAGAAGCTTCCTAGCACATGACGATTGTCTTTCAGATGTGATCCTACTTGTGTGTGGCTCTACTTGTGTTGACTACTTGCTTCCTAACTGTCTGACAGGCAGGAGGAGCAGAATGTACATGTCATTTGCGGCTGTCTGCGATCTGAACACAATCCAAGCCTAAACACCTCCAGATGTTGTCTGCCTATCACATACCATTGCAATGTGTTCTGTGGGATTTACACCTGCAGCAAGATAAAAAGATCCAGATAAAAATTGCAGGTTAATGCTGTGTGGAAATGGGAGTTTAAAATTCATCTGTCTTTGTTGGTAAAGTGAGAGTTAGGGTTGTTTCAAGTTTAGTCTCATGTAATTCCAGACATGTCACAAGTACTTTAGGGGAAGATTGAGTCATAGGCAAATCAAGTCTCAACCTGAGGCATTATGTAGCCAAGTCTTCATTAAGTTGATTTTCACAGCAGCCA